AAGAAAGAAAGGAAGAAAGAGTGGTAGGGATCTGATTCGTGAGAAAACATCTATAACACGTGTGAATCTAGTGGTGAGGATAAAAATATAGTTAACGGTTTTTCATCGCCGCACATAGGCCAAGTAAACAAAAGTCTTCGTCTTCAGTAGATGGCAAGAGAGATGGTCTCGTTTCCAAGGCCAACCTCATCCAATGATTTTCAATTGTCTGAGATGATCATGAGTGTACCTCAAAGGGCGGGTCTTTTACCAGTAGAAGATACGAACCAATAATTTTAATGATCTTAGAAATGCATTCAATACACCAGAGAGAGTCTCAATCAGGTGGTGACTGTTACGGCTAACGGTAAATAACTTTGAATAGTTAATTCTGGAGAGTCTCGATGGAGTTCTGGCTTTTACCGCTAACAGAAAGTTTCTTTGAGCACCTCAATTTGTTTTTAAAACAAACGGTTGAATTAAAGCAGTTTTACGCCGAACGGCTAAATAATTTTTTGCCCTCTTATCGCTAACAGTTATCCCCGCTGAGACCCTCTAGATATTTTCCTTAAAATCGTGGTAGTGAGCAGCAGATCATTTTGAAATAATAGTGAGCTTAATCAGTTATAAATTCAGTTTTTCTGTTAAAGAAGAAAAAAAGGCAAATGTCATGGGTTCTTAATCAAGCGGCTTTCTTTTTAATCGTTTCTTTGAATTTCAGGAGCGAAGCACAACTTCAGAAAGCTGGGCCGTAACGTCATCAACTCTCTTGGTTTTCCCTATGATTATCATAGCGTGATGCACTATACGCCGAAAAGTTTTTCCAAGAATGGCAGGCCTACAATTGTGCCTAAACGACGGGGTGTAAGTTGCCAGAGCTGCATTTTTATCTTTTCAACTTTTTACCAATCAGGATCTGTCTTACACTGATAAAACTATTTACAAAGACCTTCTCGAGGCTACGTCAAAGCAAAAGTGATGTGAAAAAGGCAACCCGTCGCAATGGAAAGTTTTGCTTGTTATGTTATGCGTTACTTGTGTAGCTGATCGTGTTACAGAGCATATTTATGTATTTTGTTTTAGGTAAGGCTTCTCCGCAGCCACGTGAGAGTTAGCCGTATTGACCAAGAACAGATGAAAAGAATGTATAGAAAACCAAGAAGATGCAGAGGCTAAAGGAGCCAAAGACAATCGATGAGGTAATTCTACGTAGTCGTAACGGTGACAGTTATTGCTTTTTACCGTTATCAATTTTATTGAGAGTTGATCTTGAGATTTTTGACATCTTATTGTAACGAGTTTAGAGGTGTTGTAATAATGTGGTTAAACAACGGTTCGTTTTACACTCACTACACTCTTTTTTTTTTTTTACATGAGAACGCCCAATAATGGAGAAGTAGTTGGCCTTTCTTTTAAAGATTTATCTTGAAAGCGTTCCTGAAATTCCCTTAAAATTACTCGCAATAGTACTTGTAAAGATCAACGCAAACATTAATATGAAAGCCATAAAAAAAGAGATCAAATTTTGCGATAAGGGAACCACGTCATGCAATCATTGTCCTGATAGATTATGACCGATTTTCAAGAAAGCTCTTATCTGAATTGGAAAAAATAAAGAAAGAAGAAGAACAAAAGAAAGAAAGCGCGAGTCCCAGAAAGGGAGAATATAATTGAGGAATATACAGCTATTTAAGATCAGATTTGCAAAACAAAATTTTGCTTCGCGTAGAGTCTTTTTCTAGTACATACGTAAAAAGCTGTTGTTAAATCATTATTTTATGGATTCAGCAGAACGGGAGCGTCGTGTTTCAGTTTTCAAAAGAAAACAAACAAACCACGGAAAAACAATCAAAAGGAAGGGGCTTTTTGTTCAGTCAGTGTTGACGTACTTTTTGTTCTTGCAGGGCATTTGAAAACAAACTGGAAATCAACCATTGGATTAAAATAGTGATCACCCTAGCCTAGTAGAATAGACCGAATAAATGAGTGAATAAAGGTGTTGGAAACTGTTCTACCTTGCATATGTTATTGGAAATTAGGGGAAATGGCGGTAATAATAGTAATAATAACACCTTTATTCTTATCTCAGTTCGTAAGCGGGCGGTATTCTACAAATCCTGCAATCTGATTGGTTCCGAGAGCGGGCTCTATTCTCCCCATCCTGTCCGCTCACAGCGGGCGGTATCCGTCTCGCTTGAGTCACTTTGCAGAACATCTCAAGCTTCGTTGCAGGTTTTCACAAATATATCTCATTTTGCCGGCCTGGCAGAATTTTTGAGCAAAGACTTCAGTTACGACCT